CTGAGTCAGGAGATGCCAGCCCGCCGCCGTCTAGGGAGCAGCATGTAATGGCGCACAGGTAAAGCCACGGAACATGTGGCAACATACAGATGAACAGAAATGGGTTGAGTTTAAATGTAAGAGCTAGTCAGTGGAAAGCCTGAGCTAATGGCTGAGCAGTTTTAATTAATATAAGCTTCTGTGTGTTTACTTGGGGGACGCGACTGCTGGCCAGCAGGGACACAGGAAATCTTCCAGATACAGACCCCTTTAAGTCCCACTGGGTCTGTGAGGTGCAAAGGGTGAGGTACTGCCATCTCTGTTGTCCCAGAGCTCTGTCTCAGGTCAGAGAAAAGCACATGCCCATCTCATTTGACTGTCCATTGATGAGAGGAGACCACTTGTCGGGGAGATGCAAAGAAAAGCATGGGGTCTGAGGAGGTCTCCATGCTGTGGTGGAAGTACAGGTTGGTAGGAGATTGGGGAAAATAATCAACAAGACTTTAATCTCAGACTGCAAAGATTCAGTCCAAATACCAGAAAAAGGGAAATTTGCTTCTAAAGCTTGCCTTGAAAATATTCTTCTTCTAGGGGTCTGGAGAGATGGCTCTGTGGTTAAGAGCACTGGATGCTCTTCCAGAGGACCTAGGTTCGATTCCCAGAACCCATATGGCGGCTCACAATCATTCATAACTAGAGGTCCAGGGATTTGGTGCCCCCTTATGGCCTTTGCAGACAATATATGTGATGCCCAGACATGCATGCAAAACACTCATCCACATGCAGTAAAAATAAAATTACACAAGAAAAGATACCTGCTTATTTATCAATTAGTTATAGACAGAATCAGCTTTAATCCACATGCTAAGATCCCAAATATTAGAATCCTAGAAAGTTACAATGTAAAGACACCTAAAAATGATCATGTTAGTATCCTGTTTACAGTTGAGAATATGAAGGGCATGGGGTGAGTCATCCGCCTCAGGTTTGAGGTTGAGAGTGGCAGAGTCAGAATTAAATCTCAAGCCTCAAGGCCAGAAAGGCCAGACAGGCCAGGGGTTTTCCCTTGTTCCAGAGTTTTCTCCATCCTACTTCCTTGTGTGACATTAGAAAAAAAGAGAACCTACTGTCCCCCTTTTCTCTCACACTGGGGGCTGATTTAAGTGTACTGCCCTTGTCAGCATTTGGACAGAGCCCAGCATCTTTCCCTGTTCCTATGGTCCCTGCCCTACCCCTTATCCTCTGCTGCTGTGCTCTCTGGGCTGAGTCGAGGATAAATGATGTAAATATCCGGCGACACTGTATTTAACATTTATCATGAACTCTGGGGCTGGGGAGATGCTTCACTTGGTGGAGAGCTTGCTGTGCAAGCATGGGGACTTGAGTTTGATCCCCAGCACCCCAGGGGTACACTTGTATCCCCAGCACCCCAGGGGCACATCTGCATCCCCAACACCCCAGGGGCACACCTGCATCCCCAGCACCCCAGGGGCACACCTGCATCCCCAGCACCCCAGGGGCACACCTGCATCCCCAGCACCCCAGGAGCATGTCTTCATCCCCAACACCCCAAGAGCACATCTGCATCCCAAGCATCCCAGGAGCACACCTGCATCTCTAGCACCCCAGGAGTACACCTGCATCCCCAGCACCTCAGGGGCACACCTGCATCCCCAGCACCCCAGGAGCACGTCTTCATCCCCAGCACACCAAGAGCACATCTGCATCCCCAGCATCCCAGGAGCACACCTGCATCCCCAGCACCCCAGGAGCACATCTGCATCACCAACACCCCAGGAGCACACCTATAACCTCAGCACCAGGGAAGCAGGAGTTAGAGACAGGAGGATCCCGAGGCTTGCTGGCTGGCTAGTCTTGCCCAGTGGATGAGCTCCAGGTTCAGTGAGAGGTCTTGTCTCAAAAACCAAAGTAAAAAGTGATGAAAAAGACACTCCAAGTCACCCACTAATGTGATCATATACATATGCATACACACATATACACAGAAACACAGACACATGGACAGACACACAGACATACGTACAGACTGACACACACATATTCAGACAGACAGACAGACAGAGACTACAAAAAGAGAAAGCAACTGTAAACACTTGTTGCTAGATCTAGGCGATTTCCTCAGTGAGGGGGAAGAACTGAGAACCGCAGTGGGTGGGTGGACTGAAGGGTGAAAGGACAGACATAACAGACAGGGACCATGTAGTCACGTCTCTGTTCCCAGAGTTTTCCTGTAGTCCTTGGATCAGATTTACGTAATTTTAACTGGATAGTTGATCACTGATGGAACACAGGTAACAAGTATTAATTTGCATTTATGAAGTTTCACAATAAGGTTTTATTATCCTCTATTTATAGATCATGCCGGTTTCCTGAGTTATAAATAGGTAATCGTGGGGCTAAATTAAATGCTGAGCCACACACTCTCTCATGTTATGACTCTGCAAACAGAAGGACATCACTGTAATCAAGTTTACAAACACCCTCATATGTTCTGGGGCTTGAGAGCTGCTCTGGGCTACACAGGACTCCTTTTGTTTCTTCCACACTAAGTGTGGGGTGGCCAAGAACTCAGAAACTAAACCATTGGGTCAAGATGAGACTAGAACTTTAGGGGCCAATCAGATATCGGCTTTGACATCCTGCCATTTATTTTCTAGGTTTATAATTGTGCCAATTTTCTTAACTTTTCTTGACACTTCTGTCTTTCACCTGTGAAATTATGGACATACAAAGCCCACGTGTAGTGATTTTGTTATCCTGTCTTCTTCCTTTTGGTTTATAAATGAAAACCGGGAGACTGGTGATCTTAGTGACTTCTTTAATCATCAGTTAGGGGGAAGAATCTCGTCACCAGAAAAGCCTGGGGACAGCTACGGTTTAATGACCCTCATCTATTTCCTCTGACCCTGCTTCTCTCATGACTGTCCACTTACAGTATTCTATGTGGACATAGTTGCCTTCTTTATAAATGGCCACTCCCCTAGTGAGTCTCTGTCTCAGTTTGCTTTCTATTGCTGCTGCAATAGCTACCATGACCAAAAGCAACATGGGGAGACAAGAGTTTATTTCACTTTGCAGCTTAGAATCTCTCATGAAAAGAAAGACAGGAACCCAAAGCAGGACCCCGGAGGCAGGAACAGATGTAGAGAGCCTGGAGAAATGCTGCTTACCAGCTTGTTCTCCATAGCTTGCTCAGTTCACCTTCTTATACATCCCAGGACCACCTGCTCAAGGATGGCATCATCCACAGTGGGCTGTGTCCTCCCACATCAATCATCAATTAAGAGAATGCCCCACAGATTTGCTCATGGGTCAGTCTGATGGAAACAACTCCTACGTGGAGACTATCTCTTCCCAGATACATCTAGGTTTGTGTCAAGTCAACAAAAACATCTAACTATCACAGTCTCTCATCTCAAGATTTCAACCGGAGCCTGTGCTAAGTTCTAGCCTTCGTGCATCTTTAGACCTATAGTGAAGAAGAGCCAGGAGTGAGGACCACCCCGCCCCACCCCACCCCCCGACACACACTATCTTCTTCCTGTTTTCCTTCCTGTCCCCCAACCTCAACTCTCTTCTGCATTATCCCCTGCTAACCCTGAGGATCTAAACTTAGGTTCCCTACTCAAGAGACAGATAAGACCAGGACACACATACCCTCTTTGGGTGACAGTAACCCAAAGGATGGAGTTCTCTGCATGGGCATGGGGATTTCTTTCTTTGCATTCTCTGTTCAAAAGTAGACACAGGAAACTGGTTTTGTAGTTTTCTCAAAACTAGAAGACTTGAGGGCTGGAGGACTTTAAAGTTTTTTCTTTAATCCTAGGACACCCCTGGAGAGACCTATTTCCAGGCAATTGCATGGTATTTAAAGGGCTCTCAACAATAAACGATTTGTCGGGTCTCAAAGTTGCAGAGATTGAAAGAACAAAACTAGTTTGAGGCAAATGCTCTTAAATAGAGTTGGCAGATGTGGAAATCATTATTACATATTAGAAGTTAGTTGAAGATACTTTCAATGTGTGTGAATCTTTGATTTCTTGTATTTTTGGTTGTGAGCCTAGCTTTAACAGCTGAACCATCTCTCCAGCCTATGGTTTCTTAATTTCTTTTATTGATCCACTCCCAAATTGTTGACATAGTTATCATTGTACTAATGCATGTAAAATGTTATATAGCCTTTTAAGACTGTGCTTTCAAAGATTCCTTATTGACAGACGCCTACAACCTGCTGAATTGATAATAAACTAATAAAATCACAAATCAATTGTATATATAAAATATGACTCCAGATTTAGTAAAGGTTATAGATGTGCCAAAAATAAACTGTCATATTCACAGTAATTATCTCTTACTGGTGGATTTATTTTGATAGTTTTTTGTTTTCTTTCTTATGCCTTCCTGTATTTTGCCTTCCTGTATTTTCCAAATTTTCTACCATAAAGGCTATATTTGTAATTTAATAGAAATTATTATGCAAAAGAGGGCAGAATTAGAAAGAATATCTGGTCCTTTTCTTTCTGATTTAATGGAATGCAGAATATTTTAGAAAGCCTCTTGAAAAGAGTTCCTTGTTCTTCCTGTGAAAGTAAAATTGGAATTACAGATGGCTTACAGCTTTAAACATAAAAAATGACTCACAAAACTTCCCAAAGAAAGCATTGGTTGGTACACTGATTGGTCTTTACGTAAAAGAGAAAAATCAACAGCTACATAGAAAAAGTTGGATAATTTGTTCAAAGAAAGAAAGCTTAGTAAAATGAAAAGTTTCAATGTCAAAAGTAAAACTAGTGGCTATAGAAAGATAGGTCAGTGGTTAGGAACACTGGCTGTTCTTTCAGAGGACCTGGATTTGGTTCTCAGCACCCACATTGCGTTTACAACAGACTGTCTGTAACTCCAGTTCCAGGGGATTTAACACCCTCTTCTGGCCTCTGCAGGCACAGGCATGTACACACTACACAGACATATATACAGGAAAAACACTCATACGCATAAAATAATGAAATGAAATAAGTTTTATTAACACTTTTTTATTTACGGGGGATGGGGTGTGCATACAGAGCACATGTGTAGAAGTCAGAGGATAACTTGTGGGCATTGGTTCTCTCTTTCCGCCATCTGGATCCTGGGGATCAAATTCAGGTTGTTGGGCTTCATGAAAACTGCCTTTTATCCCCCTGAGCTGTGTGCAGAGTCTGGGTAAAGAAAGACACACAAGGACTTTATGCCTTACCTCATTAGAATCGGGGCACATGGAGATGATGTTGTGAAAGGGGTCCTACTCTAAGTCTATGGGACCTCTTGATAGTAGTTTCCCTATATGTTATTAGAATGGACATGCCTGTAGCAGAATTCCCACATTTGTTCTTTAAGCTGTAGAATGAGAGCTAACACGTGAGAGAGCTGATGGTCCTGTGACAGATTCTGAAATTTCCTCTATCCCACCCATGACAATACTACCTTGGATTCTAGGAGGGAATTCTAGGAGGGCTGCCACACTGAGGGCATAAAGGATGTGTGGGTGGTGGCCTTCATAATATTAGCATTCTTCAGTTTGCTTTCTACAGAATTCAGATGGATTTCAATGGATGTCAGTGGACTACCCCTAACTCAGCTGCACTGCATCTGCCATGCTAAAGCAGATTGCCACAATTTGTACTCATGATACACAGCCACTGAGTTGACAACCATGTTCCTTATCAGCCTTGGCACAAAAATAGAAGCATTTCCCATTTACATGGAATAGACAATTGTGTGCACTTAGGACCTGTGTTGGGCATGCTATGTGTGTAACCTTCAATTACAAAGGCATGAGGACTACCTGGGCATTGGATGGCACATCACACTATTTAAGTCTGTCCATGACAGTTTGTTCTTATCAGTTAAGGAAGAAGTGGAAAGTATGATGAGGGCATGAATATGTCCTAGAACATGGGACATAAACTCTGCAAAGATTCAAGGCATCCCTATTAGAGGAGGTTCTGGGAGTCTAAGAGTCTGGTCATGGTGAGATAAAATTATTCCTAAACAAGGACAAACATTTTCATCTCTCATCTTCACCCTGTGAAGCCAGAACCATTCCATCCCATAGGCTTCTCCACATCTTTAAGATGGAATATTCCACACTTGAAAATATGCTCTGACCTATTTACCAGGCAATGTGGAAGGCTGCCAGCTCTCAGTGGATCCTCAAGCAGGAGAGGTCTCAGCAGTCAATCCAAGCTGCATCAGCAAGCAGTCCTTCCGTTTGGGTCACATCGTGTTACAGACTCGTAGTACTGGAGGTGTCCACAGTAGGCAGTTGTGTTGTGTGCATGGTTTCTATCAAGTTCTGATAAGAAAATCACAACATAGATGCCTAGGGTTCTGGCATAGAGTCAAGCCATTTAGAGCACGGAACTAGACATCATTTTTGAAAATAGCTCCTGGCAGTCGACTGGGCCCTGGCACAGATGAAACACCTGACTGTAAGATTAAGTTACCAGGCAGCCAGAATTGTCCACAATGAGCTGCACTATTGACAAACCTCTCAAAGCATAATGCTGGGTGAACTTACAGCAATGCCTTTTAGTATGTAAGTGGTTTGTTGGTAGTTGGGTATAAATAGGGATGGGGCACAAGGAGGCAGAGAAAATGGACTTCCGTGCCACCCACTGCTGCTGCATCGCACATGTTCTGTTCATTCTTATGGCCACTTGGTAGAAGAAAGAAAAGGATGAATTTGGCTCATGGGTAGTGTAGTAAGTTTAACATGGAGCAAAGGTCTTGGATTGTCTTTGTTGGTTTTATATCCAATCAATGACGTGTGTCCTTAGAAGACACAAAAGAGAAGATAGAGGCACAAAGAAGAAGGCAATTTGAAGAGAGAGGCAGAACAGGGGGGTTGCATCAACATGCTGAGGGATGCCCAGGACCATCTACAGCCACTACAAAGTAGGAGAGAGGAAGGCAGTGATTGTCCCTCAAGGCCTCCAAAAGAGTGCAACCGGGTGGTTTGTTCTTTGAGAATGTTGGGTCTCTAGAATTTTGAAAGAATAAGTGTTTATTATGTAAAACTATTTCTTTTGTGTTAATTGATTATGGGAACCAAAGAAACAATGACAGATAAGTCATCCTAGTGTGTGGTACAAGCAGAAAATGGTCCATGGTTTTATATCACCAGAGTGACCCTGAGAGACAGCAAGAGGGGGAGGCAGATCTTTAGATGGTACAATGAATTATTTACGTTATGTGAAGGAGATGTGTCCCATATTAAGAATATGAATGGAGTTTGGGGTAATGGAGAGTGGTGGAGCCAGCTGGTCAGATTTGTTCAAGTGGATTCCTATTCCCTGCAATCTTGACTGGAAGGATCAGACAGACAGACAGACAGACAGACAGACACACACACACACACACACACACACAGAGAGAGAGAGAGAGAGAGAGAGAGAGAGAGAGAGAGAGAGAGAGAGAGAGAGAGAGAGAGAGAGAGAGAGAACGAAGAAGTCCTTTGTGGAGGTGTGCAGATGGAGCTATGAGTAGGCATGTATTAGTTTGCATTGTAGCAAATTATAGCAAATTGTCACCAACTTAGTGGCTTAAACATTGCAGACTTGTCATCTAACTGTTGTGAAAGTCAGGAATGCAAAACTGGTTCCGTAATAGTACAATTTCTTAGGGGAAACTAGTTCTCTTTCTGCAGACTTTAGAATTCCAAAAGAACCAGTTTGCTTCCCCTTTCCAGCTTCTAGGGGCAGACGCCATCCATTGGCACCTAGCTTCTTTCCTTTATCTTCAAGACAAAAAAATGCTGGTCAGTCTTCCTCACCTTGCATTACTCTAACACAGGTGCCTAATGACCCCTGTGATTATGGGTTCCCTGTATAGAAGATCTTGTCTAGAAGAACAGGCATGTGGAAGGGGTTAGAAAAACATGTTCAAAGTTACACAAATAGGAGGTGGATCCGATGGGATCCCAACATCTAGATCTCAGTTCTACCCAGCTTTCCCATTAAATCGGTGAGTTTCACAATCCAGCTATAAAATGTAAGTAACAACACATTGCTCTCAGAATCTGAAGAAAGATGAAATAAAACACAAGAAAGTGTTTTATAGCCGAAAATGTACCTAGTCAGCAAGGATAGCTAATATTTTTTGAGTGCAGAGGATATACCACCAGGCAGTGTGTTTAGAGCAGTATTGGCTCATTTTATTCTACTAGGTAAGATGATTATTACACCCACTTTACCGTTGAAAAGACTGAGGGGCTGAAGGTTGTGCAATATTCTCTCAGCTTCATAGCTGAGGGAGCCAAGCTATTTTCTGACTTGGTTTTAAAGCAGAGCCTACAACATCTCCCTGTCAGTGTGAGGTACTTTATGTTATTCACTAGCTTAAGTTACGGGCTCATGTTCATTTTCTATGGAGAGTGTAATAAAGTATCACAAATTTGGCGGCTTGACAAATGAATGTATTCTCACATGCTTTTCAGAGTTCAGAGATCAGGGTTGGCAGGGTCTGTCCCTTCTGAGGACATTGAGGAAGAAGGTACTCCGTGGGCATCTCTCCTAGTGCCCAGTGGCTCATTGTCAATCTTTAGAGTCCCTGGCTTGTGGAATTGTCATCTCTACTGCCTCCTCCATTATCACATCGTGTCTCTGTATATGTGTGTGTTCTGTGTCCAGATTTCCTTTAAAAAAAAAATATAATGATTTCCGTCACTCTTCTGTGGTTTGACCTCATGTAATCACATCAGCAAAGAGTCCATTTCCAAATAAGGTCACATTCTAAGGCACTGGGGGTTAGGACTTAAAGATATGAATTTTGGGAACATGTACTGTCACAACAGGGGACATCAGAACAAAACTGTCAACGTAATCTTACTGCTTTTTTTGTTAACTTGCAAATGAGCAAATTCTTAGCAGATGGTGCTGATGACACTACCTCCTTCATCCAGCCTCTGAAGCAAGTCAGTGGCTGCTTAGATGGTCACCTTCTAACGGTTTTAGTTCTAACAGAAAATGTTAGTGGATTAGGTACCCGGAGTAACAGCTGATGGGGTGGGGTGGGGGTTGTGTACACACTGTACGCTCTCAGGTATAAATGTGATTGACGTGGTTTTAATCAATCCTTTTTATTGCTGTTTGTTCTGGTCAGTACCACCAGTGAAATAAAGTTCATTCTTTACATAATGTCTCGTTACGTAAAGTCAGAGAAAGATTTTTTTGTGTCTTTGTTTCATGAACAAAGATCAGGACTGATGTGGCCCCAGGTGAAACAAGTGTTAACTTGGTATTCAGGCTCATCGTCTGTACCTTGCAGAAGACGAGAGTGTCATCTTCCTGACCCATTTTGTCTCTCCTGGTGCTCCCAGCCACGGATCTCTGCTTTCAGCTTTCTGTCCCTTACCCCGAGCCCATCCAGCCCACTGATTTTTATAAATGATAACTGCATTTCTGGGACCTCACATGCAGAAAAGGTTAGACAAACCTCAGTTTATGACACGCCACCATTTTCATTTTGTGCAAGGGTCCTGTGACGGCTAATATTGACTGTCAACTTGGCCAGATCTAGACCCACCTAGGTGAAGAACCTCTGGGTGTATCTGTGAAGGCATTTCGGGACTGGTTTAACTGAATCTGGAATGGGTTTTGACCACTCTACAAGCTTCGTCCAGGACTGAGTAAAAAGAGAAAGCAAACTGAGCACGCATTCTTTTTCTCTCCTTCCGACTTCAGCGTGACCAGCTGCCTCACGCTCCTGTTGCCATGCCTTCTGGGTCACGTGGACTATAGCCTTGAACTTTGAGCTAGAAGAAACTCTTCCTGCCTTAAGCTGCAATTTCTCACACATTTTTGTTGTAATGAGACAAGTAATGAATATAGAGTCTTAGTTTATTTCCTTTTAGATTAATTCTCGTATCCTCTGCTCTCCCCTAAAACAGTCACAGTGACATGTCTGTTAGACCGTTGGATACTATATACTTATTTATATATTTAATTTATGAAAAGTTTATTTGCTTATGATCCTTTCAAAATCCTTTCAGAGGCTATTTGTCAATGGATTAACCTGAAATGACTTATTGCTTTCTATCAAATTTAGAAATTCTAGATGCTAGTTGGGCTTGGTTCACTTTTCAGAAAAGAGTGGACAAATGTGACCAATATGAGGCCATGTTGTCATTTCAACATAAAACAAATATGAAAATATTGATAGTTTACATTGTTCTTTTTGTGCAAAGCCTTCCAAGTCTGGTGTGTGTTTTGTATTTGGAAGAGATGTCAATTAGGATGTGCACAGTTCAGCTCCTTGTAGTCCTCACACAGGGTTAGTAGCATCTACACTGGGCTGCACATCACAGAGCAATGAGGAAAGCCCCAGGTAGATCCACTAAGGTGTGAGATGCTCCAGTGCCACACCCTTTTGGATCAAGCTAAGTAAATAATCATTTTACTTCTCCCAGAAACAGAGCCCATCTCTTTGGTATCCCTGGCCGTGGAGGAAATGGTTTCCTCCTGAGAGGAAAGTCAGCGAGGCCTAGAGGAGTGAGCATTCATTTTAGATAGCTATCACTGGATCTTACATCCCTTGCCATTTCTTTAGAAAATTTTATTTATCCTCTCTCTCTCTCTCTCTCTCTCTCGTGTGTGTGTGTGTGTGTGTGTGTGTGTGTGTGTGTGTGTGTGTATGTATGTGTGTGTGTGTGTGTGTGTGTGTATGTATGTGTGTGTGTGTGTGTGTGTGTGTGTGTGTGTATGTATGTGTGTGTGTGTGTGTGTGTATGTATGTGTGTGTGTGTGTGTGTGTGAGTGTGTGTGTGTGTGTGTGTATGTGTGTGTGTGTGTGTGTGTGTGTGTGTGTGTATGTATGTGTGTGTGTGTGTGTGTGTGTGTGTGTGTGTGTGTATGAATGTTTGCATATGAGTGTGAGTGCATGGATGCCACAGCATGCGTGGGGTTCAGAGGACAACTTTAAGGATTTTGTTCTCTCATTCTACTGCACATTCTGGGCGTGGAACTCAGGCCACCAGGCCTGCACAAGTGACTTTACCCAACGAGCATCTTTTCAGCCACAAATGATGAGTCTTTAAGCCACGAGTGTATGTGGAATTCTAGGTTACAGCCCATCACAGAAGGGAATTCAGAGAGCTCGAGGCAGCTGCTCACCCCATCCTCACAGTCAAGAGCAGAGCGAGTGCAGCACCCGGCCTGCCCATTTTCCAGTTCCACAAATGATGAGCTAGCTGTATGTACATGCTAGCACTAACCCCCCGCCTCCTCCAATAGCTCCTGTTCAATATTTTATTTTGGGATACATTATTTATTTATTAGAACAATAGATTTCATAAAC